AATTAAATTAAGAAAACTTTTAGAGATTATATAAAAAATATTTTCTTAAAGTAGGCGTTTGGGAAATGAAAGTGAGGAATCTCTCAAACAGTAGGAAAACAACGAATGAGCAGGGGAAGAACAGAGTGGAGGTCAGTCCAGCAAGACTTCGATCCACCGGGCAGGTTGGTGCTCAGCTGCAGTCCCAGCATGCTGGGAAGCTAAGGCAGAAGGTTGCAAGTTCAAGGCCAGCCTGGATGATGTGGTTAGCCCATCTCTAAAAACAAATAAATAAAGGAAAATAAAATAATGCGAAACACCACATCACTTAGTGACAGAAAGGACAGAGAAAATAGGAACAGAAATTTGTTTTGAATCCCCCCCCCCCCCCCCGGCGGAACCGGGAATTGAACTCAGATTCTTGCGTTTGCCAGTCAAGTGCTTATCCTACTGAGCCATCTCCCCGGTCCCTTGTTTGAATTTATGAGGCAAGTCTTTACTTTGTAGAGGTACACCACAGGGAGAAACCAACTAATAAAATGTCAAAAATAGATGTGGTGGTACACACGTGTAGTCCTAGTACTTGGGATGCTGAGACAGGAGGATCACAGCAAAGTCTAGGTCAGCTTGGGCTACATAACAAGACCCTGCCTCAAAAGATACAAGATGGCTCAGTGGAATAAGCATTTCCCTGGTAAGCACAAGGGCCTGAGTTCAATCCCCGGTTCCGCAAAAAAAAAAAAACACCCCAAAAAACAAAAAAACTATCAGGGCTGGCAAGGTAGCTCAGCAGTCTTAAGTGCCTGCTTAGGAAAGGGTAGGGACCAGGGTTTGATCCTTGGCACCGCATGCTGCACCGGCCCCACCCCTCGGCACGCTGAGCTGGCAACTGAGTCCAGGTGGGGTGGCACACACCTGTACTGCCAGCCCAGGGAGGCTGAAACAAGAAGATCACTAGGAGTCTGAGCTGCGTATTGAGGTCTTGTACCAAATAATTACGTGAAATAAACCTGTCATGTAATATCTCTGAATAATTAGTCAAAAAAGACTTGTTATGAAAATGAGAAAAGCTGGTGTGGTGCATGATGTACATCCAGCTACTTGGGAGCCTGAAATGAGGGCTCACTCCAGGCCAGCCTGAGCAGTGCAGTGAGACTTGGTCTCAAGGAATATCTAAGATACTACTTAGAATGGAAGGCCCAGGGATAGGGCTCAGTGGCACAGTACCTACCTGGCATGCGCAAGGTCATGGATTTGATTCCCAGTACAGAGAAGAAGATATGTGCCTACGAGAGGCTGTACATTATACAAAGGGGATCCATTATACAAAGGGGATATTTAGTTTAGAAAGACTTAAAAATTAAACATCAGATTGAGTTACACAAGAAGAGTGTGTAACATGACAAAAGTAGAGGTAAAGAAAAGATTTAAGAGCAAAAAGTAATGAAATAAAATGAATGCAGGAACAAAATATTAAAACTCTGGCTTTTAA